TGATGTATTGGAGTCGTTTTTCAATTTTTGGATTAATTATACCTAGTAAAAATATTTCAGGCTTGAGTTCAATTTGTTGTTTTGTTATTTCCAGTAGCCATCTTCTTATCTGCTCCCAGTAAATTTTTGCTTTGGGGCATTGCCACCACATATGATAGAATGTTCCCTCATTGTTTTTACATTTCCAACAATCTGGCTTCATATTTTTATAAATTTTAGCCAATCTCGCCGGTGCTGGATGCCATCTGTAAAACATTTTAATTTGGTTTTCTTTATACGCAGTTGATAATGTTAATTTGCAATTTACTAAACTTAACTCTTATGTGACTATGTTATATGGATTGTTTCACAAAGTAAATGTCCCCTTCAAAGCTTTGCACAATCCAGTTGTTCATTACAATTCCACTTCAAAAATTAACAAAACATTGAGAATGACATAAATTTGAAGTAGCTCATCAACCATTAGCATGTGGGTGCCAAACAGAATACAGAGATCACCTGCTGACAGCCACCATATAGCAAAATGTATTTCAATATAAATTGCACTAAATATGTATCTTTATTCATTCATTCATTCATTCATTCAATTTTAAATATCTATACATATCTACACAAGGCAATGTTAATTTTATTCCCTTTATGGATATTATATTTTCTATTTTGTGATGGTATTCCTTCTGTTCTTTGCATCATTTCTGCCATATTGCAGGATCCACAGTTTAGCATCTCATCCGTCACTTTGTCAGGCCTGCAGCATCTCCCATGTTGGCATTTCAAGTGTTCTGTTGGGTTTGATGCATAATGATGCAATGTTGAAATCTCAGCTGACTTGTCAGAGTCTGATGCCTACCCTCCTTTCTTATCCAGGCTTTGGACTGGTAATGGAGGAATTATTTTGTAATGGTATTAAGAATATTTTATTTCTAAATTGGTTTATATACTGTAGGATTTCACTTTCCATTTGGATATAACCTAAATATATAAATACAAGCCAAACTTCTATCATTTGGAAAAATGGTAGTTCGGTAGAAATGCACACATTTATTCAGACTCTGACATTTCCAGGTCAGATTGGGGGGGAAAAACTGATGCTATGAAATCTGAATCATCACTAATGCCCCAAGAACAATGCCCCAAGAACAAAGTGTCCCAACATAGAATAAAACAACTTCTTATGCATGATTACTATAAATGTTGGGTATAAAAACTGAACTTAAAAAAAATGATGCACTTATCCAGAGAATATTATTTCTTCTAGACACATTTCTAATCCATGATTAAGGTACCTTGAAACTCTTTTTAGCTCGAGCTCAAACCAGTATCTTTATAGAAATTAATGTCTCTAAACTTGATTAAGAACCTAATATTCATGCCAATGACATATTTGCTTTTGAACTTGTTTTCATCACTTGAAAGAAATTAAGTCAAAGGGCCTTGGAAGGAATACATTGCTAGCAATCATGAAACCACACATTCATATGAAATAATTTTAAGAAAATTAATTATTGTTTTATTTTTATAATTTGGACAGCAGCAGTGACTTCAGAATATGAAATCATACTTCTGCACATTCTGGAAGATTTCTAATTTCAAAACATCCATTTGTTATGAGTGAAGGATTATATGTTATCATGGCGAAATCCTCAACCTTTCTATCTCAGCTACACGGGCAATAATATTCTTAACTGCATTCTGCTAACAAGTACGTTTTCTCAGAAGCCATAACAAGAATTAAGTCAGGTTGCACACCTTTCTACAGCCCATAGCCAGACATTAATATTCTGACTACTGCTAGCTAATCAAATAAATGGCAATGGCAAACCACTTCTGAAAAACTTGCCAAGAAAATTGACGGGGCTTGTCCAGGCAATCTCCAAGAATTGGACAGGGATGAACAGAAGAAAAAAAAATCAAATATAAATATTGGTCTTGAAGAATGTTATCCCCGCCCATAATTCAATATTCAAGAGGGCAGGAGAATGATAAAAACATACAAATAAGTGTGAAATATGAACAGTGTATGCTGTCTAACAGGATATACCAGTCACACTGTTGTGCAAGGGCCTAAGTATCACAAACTAAAAAGCTCCTGACAGCTACAGGCATGCCTGAAAAAGACCTCACTTTAACTATCCTACCATACTCTTAACAAACCATGTTGTTGTAGGTAAATCAGGTATCAGAACATTAATACTTAAGGGTGGAGTTTGTGTCATGATATCACTATGACATCATTGGTTTCATTCTGATGCAATTATCATTGGCTGCAAATGTGCATGCTTTTCAATCACAAAAATATTTGACACCTATGATCCTATTATATATGAGTAGATTCATATTTCATACTAAGTTATGGTTTCTTTTTACTATGGCTTTTTAAAAATATAATTGGGTTTACTTTCTTTTTCTTTTTTTCCTTCTTTTTTTCTTCTTTTTCAAGCTTATATCCATCTCATATATGACTCTGGGTGACTTACAATTAAAACAAATCTAAAAACAAAACAGAAAAATAGTGCAACAATTTAAAAACAAAAGAAACCAATATGTAAGTGCAAAAAAAGAATAACAAAAACATAAAACTCACATCCAAGGTAATCCCATTCATCAAAACAATTAGTACAGTAACTGCACCAATTGTATCACATTCCTGGGTCCCAAAGCCTATTAGCAAAACCATATCTTCAGGGCCTTGCAAAAAGTCAGCAGAGTTAAGGTCAATCTAATCTCCAGGGGATGTGGCTCTCAATGTGGGTACCATAACAAAAAAGGTCCTCTTTCCGAGTCTCACCAGATGATACTCTATTTGATGGAACTGAAACATACCACTTGGGTTCCACCTGATAGAATGGGTAGATATAACTAGAGAGAGGTGGTCCCTCAAGTAACTAACTCCCATACCTTAATCAAGAGTTTAGTTTTAATAAAAAATAATAGTAATATTTTTAAAAAATATTTTATAATAATAATAATAATAATAATAATAATAATAATAAAGTTGGAAGGGACCTTGGAGGTCATCTAGTCCAACCCCCTGCTTAGGCAGGAAACCCTACACCATTTCAGACAAATGGTGTCCAGTCTCTTCTTAAAAACTTCCAGGGTTGGAGCATTCACAGCTTCTGGAGGCAGGTTTTTCCTCTGATTAATTGTTGTAATTGTCAGGAAATTTCTCCTTAGTTCTAGGTTGCTTCTCTCTTTGGTTAGTTTCCATCCATTGCTTCTTGTCTTGCCTTCAGGTGCTTTGGAGAATAGCGTGACTCCCTCTCCTTTGTGTATTATTATTATTAATAATAATAATAATAATAATAATAATAATAATAATAATAATAATAATAATAATAATAAACCTCGATTTACAAATTGCAAGAGCTAGTGTTAAATGAAAGTTCTGAGGCTGGGTCATCCAAAGAATACACAGGCAGGTTGCTTGGAGCAGAACCAAAGTTTATTCAAGAGCATAAGTAGAGGGATCAAAGGTTGCAACAGAGTTAGAGTTATCAAATGATTACCTTTATACCTTTTCTTTTGTTCCTCCCAGAAACAGAGCCCGCCCACTAGGAATTATTGGAAGCTATAATTAACTGGATGGCACCTTGCTGAGCTTGTGAGATTTTACCATATCAACTGGTTTCCTGATTACTTTACATTGCAGCTGGAGGAGAGAGTCACACAGAAGTATTAATAATGTAATATCTGATGTCCGAAAAGAAATGTTTACCTGGATGGGCTATCACCTTTGGCCAGTCTCCACCTCTTGGTCAAGTTTGTTATCTTTTGTTTAGTGCAATTTCTCACCTTTTGCCCAGGAAATAGCTGTGAGTTTCGGGATGCAAGGAAAAAGGGAAGATTGAATGGCAGTTTCTTTCCCACACTGTTACAGAATATGCTAAGCAAAAGCAAAGAACCTGACATTATGATTTAATGGGAATGTATGAACATAACACAATCTAGGTTCTGTCCAAAATATGGAAGTCTTGACAACATGATCTGCACCCCCAAAATGATACAATTTTTCTAGCATTTCTTCATCTCAATTACAATTCAATCTACATAGGATTAAGATGATTTACCATTCAAGCCACCTTGAAAAGGCATTCCATCTGTGCAATAGGAGTGCATAGATTCTATATATGTCAAAGGGAAGCCCAAATTATCAGATTCCCATTCATCATTTTGAATTAAAAGAGAATACACTGAAATTGCTGCCCATGCACCATTGGCATCCAGTACTTTGGAGATAGCTTGAAAAACACCAGTTGTTTGGGAGTTTTTATGCTTGCTTTCTGAAAACGAATCATCAACACAAATGCACACTGAAGAGGGGAGTAAGCCCTGCTCTAGTCTACATCAGTACCTCTGCTAACGTACTTTAGCTCTGTAGTTTAACGTCATTTCCAAATATTTTTCCTTAGTTATCAGCATGATAAATGAGACCGTTATAGAACATGAACTAGATACACTGATACACACACACAAACAAGATTTTTTTTTTTAAATCCACGTTTTAAATAACTTGCTCAAAAATAAACGGGAATCACCAGCAGGCACCCACCGAAAAGCCCAGACCTCTCAACAAAAGGAATAAAAGTTGCACCACATCATCCCGCTTCACTGGCATTTATCTCGACAGCAAAATTTCAAAAACATCTAAAGATAACGTCCGTCCGAACGTCTGAAACACCCTAAACCCGTTTCAGCTCATTTGGCTGCGCGAAAACCTTTCTCCGGAAGTGACGTCTCAATCAGAACTCCGCTCTATCTATTACTTCAACCACCGCGAACAAAAGGGATTTTCAAGCCCGTTCGGAGACCGATGTACACACCCTCCGCAACAACCACCGGTCTCGGCTTCTGATTGGCTAGGAAAAAACGTTTAAGGGACTGACTATTTCATCGTCCCCGCCCTTTCATTTGCCGATTGGCCAAGTGCCTGGGCTTCGCTCCACACCGGTTGGCGGGGGACGGCGTCAATCTCGAACTGCTTGAGAAGGCTGGATGGAGAGTGGGGCCGAGTGGGGACGTTGGCTTGGGCTGCGACGGAGGCGGCGGCGAGGGCGAGGACGACGGCTGAGAGCGTTTGGCCGAGCTCCTGGGTAGGTCGGCGTGAGATCGGACCTGGCGATCGGGCGGCTTTGGGCCTTTTTTGCGGGGAATGGCGCGCCGGGGCATCCTCGCGCGCGCGCGTGCGTGCGTGCGCGTGTCTTTGGGAACCGGCAAGGGGGAGGGAGAGGCGGGAGCCACCTGGAGGGAGGCCCGTTTGCGTGCGGGCCGTCTGCCGTGGGACGCGAGGGAGGGGACAGCCGACGTGCTTCAGACCGGAGAGGACCCCGCAGGCCATTGTCGCGGTGACCGCCGTCGCAGCTCTGAGAGTCGGCTGCGTTACGAGTGCATGCGATGGGGCTCCAGGCCCTGGGCGGGTAGAGAGAACGTCAGGAACTGGTCGGAGCAGATGACCGAGGGGGGGTTCAAAGGAAGCGTGTTGAGGTTCGCGGACGGCGGCAAGTGCTCCGCTCGTGTTTTTTTTCATGGAAGAAAAAAAGGGCTTACATGCGTACCTCTTGCTGTACAGAAACGGGGCTAGGAAACCTTACGCTAGAATAAACCATCCGAGCGTTTTAAGTACCCCGGGCGGTAGATCGATATCTGGCCGTATAAGCTGCGAAGTGGCCGTGAGAATGTAATATTTGGGGATATAAGGGCGGGGAGTAATTTCTCAGGCTTGGCTTGGCTGCTTTCACAATTCATTCTGGAAATTAGATAGGGAAATGCTGCTAAACCTGTTCACCCCTGGTACACGCATTGTTAAGACCTAAGGATGCTGTAGTCAGTGCAAAATACTTCG